TGGGGAATTCTGGGAGTTGAAGTCCACACATCTTCAAGTTGCCAAGGTTGAGGAACCCTGTATTAAAAGATAAGAGAGCAACCTGAGATCCATGCATGTGCTAAAGATGTTTGATCAGTTCTATAAACTACAGTTAATTTTAAAAAACCTGTCTGCATTTGACTATGGATCAATGTAGTTCTCAGTGCAAAAGCATTCTTTTGGATGTATATTTGTATGTATTTTTTGCAACAGGCTTCATGCTTAGGAAAGGCTCCCTCCCCCGCATGGGAGAGGAGGGGTCTGCTCTTACAGGGAGTAGCGCCTACCACCTGTGGTATCTGAAACTTCGGATAGCCTGAGAAGCCGCCCTTTTGAGCTCCAAGAACTGAGGAGACTGACAAGATTTTTCTTGGGAGAGTTTCTGAAGAGATTTAGAGAAGAAAGACAGCAAGGAGACTCAGAGAAGGAAAAATGAATAGTACCATTCAGCAGTACTTCATCAGCAAGAAAGACCAAACATTGTGACCCATCTCTGTATTAGTTAAGTGACTCCAAGAAGCAGATATTTTGAGTTATTAGCATCCTCCCCTTCCTGTTGTTTTGTAAAAGGATTTGGTTGGGTTAGCTCTCTTGCTTCCTTCTCTTATTTTATCTGTGTTGTTATTATTTTCTCTATGCAATTTCTGCATTCTGCATAGAATACCTGCTGGTATTTTTCATCTTCATCCACTACAACAATCATCATTTCGAACTGAGCCTCTATAACATGGCAACAGCAAGGGCTGCAGATAGAAAAAATGGGAGCGGGGGGGAATGGGAGATGCAGTAGTTGTACAAAATTGTTATTTTTAATATTGCTCAGTTTACTCAATAAACTCAGTAAATGGATCACATTACTCTACTGATGCCCTTTGAATGAATGTGTTTATCTTTCATAATTTTTTTTTTTGAATTGGCTTGTCTTAAAAAAAAGGCTCAAAGAGTCTTTCAGTGTTAAGAGGCTATCTTTTAGAACTCTAAGTGATATTGTATAATAATTAAGAAATAGGAAAAACAATACAGGGGTTTGACGTGAAAACCACAAGTATGAATGTTTCAGATACTGAAGGCAATTTAGAACTGATATGACAAATTCAGTATGAAATGAGATGCAGTTTGCCATGCAGCGCTAGCAGCTGCATCTACAGGTAGTCCTTGTTTAGCGACCACTATTGGGACTGGCGACTCAGCTGTTAAGTGAGGCAGTCACTAAGTGAAACCACAACTGCTTATGATTTTAGCTTCAGCTTTCCTTTGCTTTATAGACCTGTGAAGATTGTAAATGTGAGGATTGGTTGTGAAGTTACTTTTTCATCACCGTAACAACTGCAAATGGTCACTAAATGAGGCAGTCTCTAAATGAGGACTACCGGTACTTTGTACCTTTGTATCTGCTTTTATATGACTTTAAAAATGGTGAAAAGATGTATCACAGTTTTTTTTAAGGAATTGTATAAATGTAGGGCAAGCATACATGGAAAGAGTGTGATTTTTTTTCTTCCCTGCTGACTTTCAGTAACAAATCATCGTGTTAACCACTTCTCTTTAGAAATAGAAAATGAGCAGAGAGGAGCTACTGTTGGGTAACTCTTAAGAGAGAAAGACTTCACTACAGGCTAGTGAACAAAAATGGCTTCTAATCCAGTGGTGTATCTTCTGCCCAGCATTGCTTGGCTTTTTGGCTAGGAAATTATAGGTTCCTTTGTCTTCCATAACCGTTGTTGTCCTGACTGTGTATGTAGGTGGATTTTCAACTGAATACTTATTATTGTGTGTGGAGAACACGAATTGCATTCACTCCTCAGTGTACCATGGCAACCAAAAATTTATCCTCCCTCAACTCTTCAGCAACAGCTGAGCCACCTCAAGTCAGCCTAAGAATGACTCATTCACCTTGGCAGAGAGCAGACATGCTTCTTGTTTGCAAACGGCAGGAAATCTGTACTTCACTGGGGTTTCTAGGGAGGATAAAGTGATGATTTATTAGTCCAGTTCCTATTAAAGAATGAATGAAGAGGAAGCTGCAAGGCCCAATCAGCAGTAACTACCCTATGGCATTTTTCTTTCTTTTGATGATCATGTTTGAAGTATAAGAAATCATAAACCATAGATGTTCTTATTTGTAGCATTTATGCAATCATCTACTTGTGCTGCAGTGAGAAGTCTCTGAAGCTAGGTGATACGGCATGGAGAAGCTTTCGGGAAAGAAGTTCAGATAGTTACCAGAAAGGAAGGGAGTCCATCCCCAATCTGTGTTTTTAACACAGGATATAGCCAAGCCAGTCTTCCTGTAGAGAGCTCTTGCCTACGTACATTCCCTGCTTCACTGCAAAGCCAACGTAGTTGCTGGAGAATATGAATATTAGAGGTAGAACAATGTTTTGATGGATGTATGGGCAGACTCAAGGTTTTTCTCCCTGATTCTCAAATCTGGGATACAAAAGCCTATAGGTGGGGAAGTCCAAGGGACCATGATTAATCTTAATTTTATATTTTTGAAGTTGTTTTATTTTTATAATGAACTTACCAGCACGCTACCTCAGCAGATGGACAGCACCTAGCTGACCTTTGCTGATATTAGAAGTTAAGCAGGATTGACATTGGTTAAGACTTGGACAGGGTACCATCAGAGTTGTAGGTCTGAGTGATAAGTTGACAAAAACCTTATAGAAGAAAGATCTGCCACTTCCTGGCAAGAAAATTGCATGGATACAATCACCAGGAATCAGTTTTGAACTGAAGGCATCTTTACTCTCTACTGCTTATATTTCAGCCTAGATACTATGACAGCAGGATGGGAAAGGAAAAAAAAATCTAATTTCATACTATAGTCTAATCATGCAGAATGTTTTGTGGATAAATGATAGATATTTATTTAGAAGAAAATTGCAATGGGTCAAATGTTTAGGTCATCACATCTGTTGGACGCCAAATTGTAGAAATTCATTTTCTATTATTTGGTGGATGGGATAGGGGTTTGGAACATAACACAAGCAAGGTCAAAAGGCAGAATATCTTTTAAATGAATATTGCTCTTTTCTTTTTTCTTCATTTTTTTGCAGGATCTTTCCGCAATGATGGCTTGAAAGCCACTGATGTCCTTCCCATACTAAAGGAAAAAGTGGCCTTTGTTTCAGGTAAGTTCTTTGTTTGTTTGTTTGTTTGTGTCTATTCTGAAATGACTTTCACGACAATTAATGCTCGTGAAAATTAGAAAAGCACAGAAGTAATAGTAATATATAACGTTTTGTTTCAGAACTTCATAGGCCTAAAAAAAATTACAGAACAGTTTTAGTCGATTAGATTTAAGTAATGATTTAACAAGTAGAATCCTACCTTTTAAGCCATGTTATATTAATGCATTTTAATTATATTTTTAAACTGTATTTTTAATTTGGTTTCCTTTATTCCTTGGCTCCTTGATAATAATTTATTTGTGAAAGGATGGATATGAATAAAATGAATAGGGTCTGATGTTCAATCTTTGACATCACCAGGTAGGAATCAGAAAAAATCCTGTTTCTGGAACACTAGATGCTTTGTATTTCAACTCACATTAGCCCAAGACTGTTCAAAGGCAATATACCGTATATGGAAATTGTCATTCAAAACATCTAGTGGACCTCTGGTTATCTACCCCAGTGTCAGTCATAAGGAGTTACAAGGATAGAATCTGTCTTAATATAAGATATCTTCCTAAATGGACATTGAATTACAATCTAATTTTCATACATGGTTATTGGGTTAAAAATAATTCATTATTTTTAACTTGTGCAGTGACTTTCGTTGTTCCCTGTAATTCAGCATGATGGCATATGGTACTACATACAGCTAAAATTAATTCAGGATTTTTGCAAACCTCATATTCAGTTCCAGTGCTAAATTAAAATGAAATGGTTGGGCTGTAGTTCAAAAAGAGAACAGCAACGTATTGAAAACTGCACAACAGTCTCACATTGTATCTGTAAGATAAATTTCCTTCTATTTTTGAATGGTTGAAAACTAGAAATAATGCAACCAAAAACTAAGGGTAAGTGTCAAAAAGTCAAGTCAGAAGAGAGAAGGCAGGATTTGAGTGGGGCAAGATAAAGGATTGAACAGTACGTAAATGATGATTCTTGAACAACAAATGATGTGTCTTAAAGGTCACATTGTCCCCATTCTTGGATGATCAGATACAGGAGATGATAGAACTCTTGCACCTTTAATTCTAGTGTGAGAAAGAGCTGGAAGCAGTTTCCAGACATAATTCAAAGTGTGGGTTATGATATATAAAACCCACATGACTTGTGAGTAGGTTATTTGAAAGATTGCATTCTTTCTCTCTCTGAGCCTGCCTGAGTTTTAAGATTCTCAGCAGTAGCCTCCTTTATTCCTCAGAGGGACATTTGGTGTTTCCATCAAGGCTCTGAAATTGCAGATAAAATAGGGCTGGGAAGGTTCATCTTAATTGTTCTCCTTGCAGCAGGCAAATATATTTTTATCCCCATAGGCTTTTGTTCAAATAGGTTTTCACTGATGGTTGTTGTTTGCTTCCTAACTATTTAACTTATTTGCTTTTATGCTTTAATTATATCTGTATTCTATTTTGTATTTGATTATTATCCATTTTGAAGTGGAAAGGCAAGAGGTAAATTTAAAACATTGTAAATTTAATACTGTTATGAGCCACCCAGAGTCACTTAGTTGAGATGGGCAGCCATACAAATTGAATGAATGAATGAATACATGTAATAAATGCATAAATAATGAGATTTGTTTCTAAGTTAGCATGGATGTGATGTATTTTTTTCCAGAAGGTGGTCAGACAAGTCACAAAAGTTATGTACTACTCCAAGCCCATGCCTTTGGAATCAACACTAAACTAAATGCTCAAACACATAATTGCAAATTAAAAGATGAATGTTAGAATTGTATATGTATAAAATGATGTATTTATATCCAATCCTATGCTTAGCATGTACAATCCATTAGTCAAAGCTTTTACTTCTAGACATTGCCAACTTAAAAGCTATGCTGACTACCTTGACCTTTGACCTAAAGTGGTAAAATAGAGTGAAGCTCAAGTTTAATAGACATCAGTCATGCTTCATCTAAGCAAAATACATGTAACTGCCATCCCCATGTCCTTCCTGTATTGCTCAGCTGGTAGCTATGATCATGTTAGATATCCTGGTGAAAATTATTTTACTTCTGAGGTTTGTGATAGACTTGGAAAAAAGCAAATTGCATTAACTGACTTTCTTTTGATCTTAGTTATCATTCAAAATGTTACATCTTTTGTTCTGAAGTGTAAATGGATTTCTGGTTCAGAAAGGAGATTTTATCCTGTCCTAGTATAAATTATTACCTAAGTATGATATAGCCTGAACTTGCTCAGGTTGTGCAAAGTGAAAAAGTTATCATAAAACCCTCTTTAGTTCCTTTTAAAAAGATGGTAGAGAAGACACTTGAGACATCTCTTGTCTGATCGCCTTGCTTCTTTGTCTCTGCATGAAAAGGCAATCACTTCTGACATAGCAAGCTCAATAGCAACCTTGCCAGCTACACTGCCTCTCAATAATAGACAATAATTACCAGTGGCTTTTGGAAATGAATCTTTATGGTTTATTTGGTGTCTGAGGAGCATCATTCTTAATCTGAAGTGTTGTTCTTTATATTTTGTCCTGTGTATCTCTAGAACAACTCTACAAAAAAACTGAGTCTCAAAAATGAATTTTGCCTCTCCTTTTCCACTCAAATCACATGAGCTCCCTGCTTCCTTTCACATATAGGTGCTTACTTTCAAGTCCCTTCCTTTTTCTGTGCTTTGATTTGACACTTTTGATTTTCTTCAAAGTCTTCTCTCTTAGAAGATGTTTCCTTTGCTGTATCTTGTGAGAATGAATTCTAAAACTGATGAGAAGTATGCTAGCTGTTGGGTCAGGATAACCCAGGTATAAGCTAGCTTACATTCCAGAATGGACAAGCCTCCCTCCATCAAAAATATCTGAGAAAAAAAAGTTTGATATTAACTTTGAATGATATATAAGGTTCACATTTAAAAGCAAAAGTACTGGTTAAAATCCTTGGTCTTTCTTTAATACATCTAAGTAGTCAAGCTTAAAGAAACCTGTTTCCTTGGTTTGTTCATTTCCAGTTAGGTTTGTTGCTAAAGAGTTCTGACACTGTTATGCTACGAAACCTGGATATAATATTTATACCAACTCAGAATATCAATACTTCTGTTTTTCTTCCTTGAAATATATATACAAGATTAATGAACCATTTGTCTTAACTTCTTAATCATTAAGATTAAGTTAATTGTCTAACTTAATTAAGTTAAGTCAAATTAAATTAAATTAAAATTAACCTTTTCTGCTGTGGCACCCTCCCTTTGGAGCATCATTTCCCCCGAGGTGATATTAGCTCCGATCCTACTGGCATTTAGGAAATCCCTGAAAACTGGTTTTTTTCAGCAGGGTTCAGGATCCTAGAGAAATGGGGAGTCTGCAAGATGGTTACACTGTATGCAGGATGCTGGTTCATTGTCCCGCAGTTTTATTATTTTATTTTATTTTTACGTGTGTCTGTTTTTAACTATTGTTTTAACTGACTGTTTATTGTACACTGCCCAGAGTCACATTGGAGAGATGGGTGGCTAAATAAATCTGATAAATAAATAAATAAATAATAAATATTATATCCATCGTTATCAGAACTGAAGTATATGCAGCAACAACATACATCCAGCTACATGTTTTGTTTTGAGTTTAGAACAAAGCAACCTCACTTAAACGTTTCAGGTTGGCTGTGTTTCAACCGGATACACTTGAAATGGCTTGAATGTTCTGAATTCTGAATATAACTGCATCAGATGCTGGTGCTCTAAAGCCTTAGCTAGAAAAACATTAGGTTTTTCAATTACAGGACAAAAATCAGCCCAATTGCCATGGTTGAAGCAATCAGCATGCTCATGACACCATTCAGGGCTGTTGTGTTTTTTTCTGACTCTGAAACATAAGTCTTATTTATGTATTCATTCAATTTAAATGGCTGTCCACTCACCAAGTAACTCTGGGCAGCTAGCAAAGGTTAAAAAATTACAATATGGAAAGTAGGCAATACAAAAATAAAATATGCCAGGGACAAAATACTAACATAATTATAATGGGCTCATATACCATCCTGGTCTACTGCCTGGAGGAAGATCCAGGTTTTGGGGATCTTTAAAAGACCAGCAGGGTTGGGGCCTCCTGGGTCCCATAAGATGACATTGTTTAATTGATGGGACCCAAAGCAGCCAACTCTATTGAATCTTGTAGACAAGTAGAGATAACTGGAGACCTACAAATATCCAGGTCCTGTGCCATGCAGGGCCTTAAAGGTGACCACCAGCATCTTGAATTGTACCCAGAAGCCTACTGGTAATCAGTGAAGCTAGTGCAGTAGCAGTGTTACACTGATGTACTAAGGTTCACTCATAACTACTTGTGCTGTTGCATCCTGGAGCAGCTGTAGTTTTTGAGTGGTCTTCAATCCTAATTCTCATTTGAGCCTTGAATACTCAAAACATCCATTACAAAGTCAAAACAGTTCAACTGGAACTGTTTTACACATTTCTACCTCTCCTTCCCCAGGCAGATACAGTATATAGCCTGTCCTGAGCTTACGTTACATTTAAAAACCTCACTGCACATTGATGACGCTGTATCTAACTAGCCCCAGCAAGCATATGCAACATGATGGTTTAGCAACATCTGAAGAATCACAAATTTTCCACCCATGCACGATGTAAGGATTATCAAGAAGGCTAATAGCCATTTTGAAAGCTAAGATATGTGCTAGAAATTACTTGGTGTGAATGCTAGCCAATCGTTGCATAAATTTGGCTTTAACCACTGCATCTGTTTGTGGAAATATTTAGAGAGAGATTGTTAATAAGGGGAAAATGAGAGTCAAGAGGAAGGAAATGCAATGTACTGCTGTTGCAGTACATAAAAAGGAAAAAAAAACACCATGTACAATAAATTGCATTTGAAAACTATTCCCAGGGACAGAAAACTTACATTCCAATTCAACCGCTTGTCAATGACATTTGCTGACATTCACACCAGCACTCATCCTTGCATACACAAAATTGTTTTTGGAAAAGTGTTCACTTGGAACAAAAAAATCAAACGTTTTTACTTGGAAAGGTCCCTGATCTAAAACAAAGTAATTCCTACTGTTGCTCCATGAAAGGCCATTCTTTTTGCCTTTTGATATATATCATTTCTCAAGAATATTTTAAACTCTTTAAAGTATCTCTCAGGCTAATTTTAAAGTTCTACTGTTCTGAGATTGTAAAAATAAATTGCTGGTTAAGGTAGGTCAATCTGTACCAAGAGGCTGAATGCGAAGAGTTGGATTGCTCTGCCCCTGCTGTTTACATACAGGAAAGTTGCTTTAAACTCTGGCTTATCTCTAAAAGGAGTTTTAAAAAAAAAACTTTGGAAATAAGAATAGAGTAGGTGGTGAAATGGAAACCTTTGAATTCAAGCTATATGTGGTCATTTGTAGCAAAATGACAAAGGATATTATCTGATATTTACATAGTAGAGGATATAGGGAAATTGCCCATGAGTAAACATGAGAAAATAAAAGCTCTGCTGATTCAGGTTAGTAGTTCCTCTGGTCCAGTACAGACCCTCAGTATCCAACCAGGTGCACTCAGGAGACACCTAAACATAGACAGTAGAGTGCTATTCCTCTCCCACTGTTGCTCCTTAGCAATTGCCCCCTTGCCCCCTTGCCCCCTAGCAATTTGTACTTAAAATATGCTCCCTCTCATTTAGCTCTAAACCAAAAAATATTGGCCATTGACTCAGTGGTACTAATAGTTCTATTAGAATGGGCTACCCTATCATACCAAAGTCACACAACTCTAATCTAAGAGAGCCAATTTTTTAGCTGCCATCTCATCCACTGCTTTATAAAAAGACATATGTTTAATCTACAATTGTACCCTCACCTCCTGCAAACTTTGATCCTTTTTCTGTAACCTTAGGTAAATTGCCAGTGGAGGACACAATTAGCAAAAATTACTGATTTAATGTGAGTTCAGAAATATCCAGATTAATAATGGCTCAATCAATAGCAACAGTTATGTTATGCTCTGTTTAGCATTTGCCGAATTTCATGGAGACTGAAAGTCTATAGAAGGATGGGTACGTACATACATACTTATATGTACCTGGCCCCATTCTCTCAGTTCCTGATATTGCTGTGTTGGATTTTGTGGTTAATCACAGAGTCCTGTTTGGAGGTCTCTTGGTTTTAAACTATTGCTTTTTAATTGTTGCTTTATTTACCTAGTTTGCGTGTTTATTTGACTTGTCTTGTAATTTTATTTGCGTTTATATAGTATGTCACTGTCATCATATTTTAGTTTTAGAAATAAATTTAGAAATAAATAAGTAAATTATAGAAATGACTGGATTTGGCATCAAAGCACTAAGCAAATTAATAATATTTGTCAGTTATAGCTCTCATTTTTTGCAGATCACCCTGACTGTGCCCTTTGTAATATGAAATGGGCCTATAACGGGAGCTGAATCATGGTAGTTCTGCTGTCACTCAACCATCGCTGGTTAAGTGATGTCTTCTTGAAAGGAATAATGACCTGACTCATCATAATATATATTACAATTGTATAATAAGGAGTTATATCTAATACATATTATATATAATTCACATTAACTTTGGTTTCCTGATAAAATCATAAAGCCAATTCAAAGTGAGGGAAATGTTTCTTGCATTCATTTTTTAATTTACAAGTGTTTTGACCTCAGCTCTCAGTTCCCTAAATGTTGGTTCAAGGGGATTCTTTTATCCAGGATAAGAATTGTATTTTTAAAGATATTTTCTCTCTAGATTTAGTTTTCATTTTATTTTCACAGATCAGCACAGGGAAAAGTCAATCTCAGTTTTGCTAGAATAGTTCCTGCCTCTAGATTTAGTAGATGTCCTTTAAAAATGAGGTATATTAAGAAAAACCCTGTCTGTCTGTCTGTCTAACTATCAATCATCCAGAAACTTTGGAATATGCATTTGCAAAACAATGCTGCTAGTGTGCACTTCTAAACTTTAGACAGATCCATATTTTGTAAAACAGAGAATAATCACCACTTTTTATTGCTTGTGTTTTTTGATATAGTGCCAATTTCCAATTGGACTGATGGTAGTGTACAATAAGCCAGAGAGATGCCCTAATCACTCAAGGGGTAAAAACTGACAGGAGGTGTTTTCAAAGAAGCTGCAGCTTAGCCATTTCCGTCTTCCTTTGGTTCACATGATGTAATGGGCTTCCTGATTAATTTTCTAGCAACTGTTTGTTTTTCTACAGGCGGCCGTGATAAACGAGGAGGTCCCATCCTGACATTTCCAGCACGCAGCAATCATGACAGAATAAGGCAGGAAGATCTTCGGAAACTGGTGACTTACTTGGCTGGCGTACCGAGGTAAAGGTTCAAAAGAAAGGCCTTGGTGGGGAGGATGTGTTCTTGGCAAGCCTTTGGTACAGATTGGCGTGGAAAAAAGAAATGCTCACGCCCACCATATCTTATTCAGCCAAGTCCGAGTGGGATAGGGTGAGGGGACACAACACATGTGCCCACCCTCTCGTCACTGCTGTCTAACAAAAAAGCATAACGCCCTTGCCTGAATAAGGCTTTATTATGGTCTCACTTGTATTGTACTGCCTAATTTATTTTGTGTATGAAAGGCAGTAAAAGAAAGACAAGGAGGGAGATTTGAGGTGGGGGGAATTTTCACAGTGTTCTGTCCGGTTTTTAAACTCTCTGTCTCTGGAAATAAAAATCTGCCTTGAACCAAAATGCTTAATTAGCACTCATCTACAGTTATCAATAAATGCACAATGACATATTTGAGACCAACCCAAGCATATTTGTATGTTAAAAAAATATTAGTGGGGTTTACTTTCTTTCAAGCATTACTTTGTTATTGTTATTTATTTATTTGTTATTACCCTATAATGAAATTCTCAGGGCAACTTTTATCAAGTATTTTTAAAAAGCCATATAATTTAATAGATCAACAAGGTAAAACCAGTCTAAAGCAAGCACAATATTTAGATTTTGCAGCCAAACAATAAGGTTTTTAATTTAATACTTGAAAGAGTATAAGGTAGGAACATTTAGTATTTTGATATCAAGTGCAGGAAAAATTGGGGCAAGTGGAAGATACCTTGAAGAACTATCACGCATTATTATTTATGCACAGATTGCTCCCATTTCTGTATCTCTTGGTTAGCTCAACTTCAAAATTCATCCTGTCCCTGTCTTTTGGTTTAACTAAGGATAATTAAAATAATTTTAAAAATTGACATACATATTTCATTTGCTACAATTTTCAATTTGTGTTTCTTTCCCTTCCTGCGGAGGAGGAAGTCATAATGCAGAAAGGAACTTAATGTAATTATCTAGCTGCCTCTGAAGTTCATTTGGTTTGCACTGGGATTTAACCACTGCACATGGACCGGTAAACTGTAAAAAAAAAAGGGGGGGGACAGAAATGTAACAAATTGCAGATGCATAGTGGCCAGAATGCAATCTAGAAATAAAAATTAATTTATTAATTAATTTGCTCTATTACAGCCCAAGGCCAGCAGCTTAAAATACTATATAGGGACAAAGTGTCCAGGTACATATATAGATGCATAGATACATACATATTCAGTGGTACCTCGGGTCACGAACGCTTCTGTTCAGGACCAGTTTGGGTCACGAACAGCACCGTTCGCAAAATTTTGCTTCCATTCGTGAACTCCGCATCAGGTGACGAATACGACCTGCGGCCATCTTCCCTGCTCTGACACGTGGTTGTGGCTTCCTGTAGGGAGGGGGACTCTCCCGCCAAACAATAACCGCCTCT